CTGTTTTCTCTCCTGTCCTCAATACACTCTGCCTCAAATCTGTCTTGCTTCTTTCTTTCTTCCGCGCTGCTGGGGGTCTGGGCTCTGTCCTCCTCCCTGATTCCCGGGAAGTAGGGTGGAACAGCCTGGTGACTGTGTGTGCAAGCGTGGCTGGAGCTCACGTGTGTGTCTTTGGTGTGTCTGGAGCTCACGTGTGTGTCTTTGGTGTGTCTGGAGCTGCAAGGTACAGGTGTATGCCTGGTGTGGAGGCGAGGGCTCCCTTCCTTCCCGGGACAGCACTGGAGAACCAAAGCCTTGCAGATCACCGTCTTGTATTTTCTGCTTCCAAAAACGCACTGCTCTTCGAGGCCAGGTATGTTAGGCTCTTTAAAAATGGTACGGAAACCCCTCAGCCAGAGTGGTCACTCTCAGCCCCCTCCTACCGCATTCTCTAAAGCTGGCATTTCCCACATTTGTCACGTCACCGCCTGGCTCCTGACACGACTGAGTGTCCGCCCTGGTGGAGAGGAGAGAAGTGCCAGGGAGGGTCGAGGAGAGATGGGTTTTAGCCCTGGCTCTGTGTCTGACTTGTGTGTGACCTTAGACAGCCTCTCCCCCATCTCAGGGCCTCAGTTTCCCCTTTTGTACAGGAACAGACTTGCCAGAGGTTTGCCGCGGGCGGTCCAGGTCTGACTCAGCTCGTGCCTATACCTCACACGCTTGCCCTGCTTTGGGGCGGTGCTGGGTGGAGGGGGTGCCACTGTCTAAACTTTCACCCGCTGCACTTCCAAGGAGTGCTGATGCCACAGGTGCATCAGGCAGTCTTCCAGAAAGGGAACAGTTCTGATTTCCTGCGGCCTTTCCGTGGTGCCCCCACCCCCCAGCACACACAGGCAGTGTCTGTGCACAGCTCCAGCAGACAAGGAACCGCTTACCCTGCCTTCAGCCTGCCTGCCCTGTCGGCCGTTGTTGCACAGTCCTGGCTAAGTTCAGTCACTCCTCCCACGTGTTGGCCCGGGCATTCCGCCTGTGACCCCCAAAGGCAGAGATGATGCTTCAGAGATTCTCAGAGTTGTCATAGCTCCCTGCCCCAGCCTGCTTCTCCCCTGGCTGGAGATCCCGAGCTCCTCTGCCCCGTGGTTGTCACCCGGCGTGGCTCAGCTCTGGACCCATGCCCTGCTCGGGTGGCACTGTGGTTGGATGCTGGGACACGCCTGAGCCCATCCCAGCTTGGCATTTGGCCTGGAGACTCTGGTCTCAGCCTCTAGTCCTGCTGTCCGACCCCGGGGCTGGGACCTCTCTTCCACCCTTCCCCCCGCATGATGGGGTCTGCCTCTCTCAGCGGGCCTGACAGAACACTTCCTGGGATGTGTCACTGACACAGCAGCTCCCAACATCTCTGGCTCATGTCTACACAAGCCAGACCCAGGATAAAAGAGGCAGTTCGCACGCTGAGCCTCGATGCCCCTGCCTGATGAATGGGAGCTTCACTGTCCCACGGCATCTCTGAGGGTCACCCCAGTGTTACCTTCCCCTGAGAGTCCTGTCCCAGCTGTGGTGTGCAGGCCCTAGGGTGAAGAGCTCCAATTCCTCATTCAGCAGCTGCTAAATTCTGACTGGAGAAAACACGGCTTGTGTCTACAGTTTCCCTGTGATTGGGAAGAATTAGGATCTCTGGCTTGGTTGTGGCTGGTCACCAGAGAGCAGATGGATCTTGTGGCTGGTTCTGGCTTTGATTGGGGAGGAGGCACGGAATGGACGGGCTATGTCTGGGCTCTGAAGGGCGAATGCCGAGGAATGGGGCTGGACGGGGAGGCCACGTCTATGGGTAGCTGCTGGCATCCGATGGGTTGAGAGGGTCAGGAGGTGCGTGCTAGGCATGACTTCTGAGCCCTGCACTGTAACCCAGCTCAAGCTGCCTAGACATGTATGTGGTTGTGAGAGGACTGCAGATGGTTGACACAGACACATGCTTGCGGGTGGGCAGAACATACCTGTGGTCATTTATGCCTCTGGGTTTCTTTTCACCATCAGGAAAATGGGTGTCACAGGATGACAATGAGCTGTGTAGACAGGACAGTCCTTAAGCAGGCAGGAAGCAGGCGTGGCAGTGTGGCGCAGAGCTGTCAGCTCGGCCTCCAGGCTGATCGCCGTCCTGGCCTCCCTGGAGCCACACTCTCCTCCCTGTCCGTGATGAGTCCAGGGATAGGAACAGTGCCCAACCCCTCCTTGCATTCCCATCTGGCGGGGAGTCTTCCTCCCTGCTCGGGCATCCCAGGAAAACTGAGGCGGTCACCATGGCAACCTGGCAGGGGGTTTGGGACTTAGATCTTTCACTAAATTGGACTTTAATAGTAATAATCAATGTTTTAAATTTTAAAGAGTTGAATAGCTAATACATCTATAGGGTTCAAAAGTCTACACTTACATGAAAACGAACACATTCAAAAGCCTTATTTCCACCTCCCTGCCCCAGCCTGCTCCCTGGCTGGAGAGTCTGGCTCTTCTGTCCCAGTGGTGTCACTTGGCTCGGCTCATGACTCTAGGGTGGCACTGTGGCAGGGTGCTGGGACATGCCAGAGCCCACCCTGACTTGGCATTTGACCCTGAGACTCTGGTCTCAGTCTCTTGATCTTCCCGTCTGGCCCTGGGGCCTCCCTCCCATGGCCTCTCCCTGAGTTGTGGGGTCTACCCGACGGAACACGCCCTGGGATGTTTCAGGACACACAGCAGCTCCCAGCATCTCTGCTGTGTGCCCCACTCCTGTTTAGTCCACTTCCCACGCTTGTTAGTTTCATGGATATCCTTCCAGTATTCTGTATGGCAATTCACATCTATGAGTGCCATGAAGTGCTTCCTCTCAAGGAATGTGCGAATACTCGGAATGCTCTTTCCCACGAGTTATCTCATTTAACCCTTGTAGTAACCCCGAAGGGTGAGTTCTGTTACCACGCCCCATGTTACAGAGGAGGAAACTGAAGCTCAGAGGGGTCAAGCGACTTGCCCAAGTTCGCTCAGTCCGTTAAGGAATCTGTCTCCAAAGTGAGCATCTTTAGGCACCAGTCGCGGCCTCCTGGTTACTGGCAGGAGCAGTCACCAGACAGCATGGGCTTAACACCTCCTGGGCTGAGAGTGTGGGCCTATGCGTTTTCTCACAGGCACCACCTCACTTGGTCGGTGGCTTTCCGTCTCTGCAGAATGGACGATTCCAGGCTGGGCACGGTTTCCCATGCCTGCAATCCCGGCACTTTGGGAGCCCCAGGCGGGAGGATTGCTTGAGGCCAGGAATTCCTCAGCCTGGGCAACATAGTGAGACCTCTACAAAAAGTAATTAACCAGGTATGGTGGTTGCAGCCCATAGTCCCAACTACTCAGGAGGCTGAGGCAGGAGGATCGCTGGAGTACAGGCATTCGAGGCTGCAGCGAGCTAGGGTCGCGCCACTGCACTCCAGCCTGGACGACAAAGCAAGACTCTGACCAGAAAAGGAAAAAAGGGGGGGTTCAGACCCGGCGCGGGGCGCCCGCACTAACGCCTGCCCCTCTGCTCTCTCCGCAGGCCGGCCGGGACAGCCTGCCCGCCTCCCCGCCGCGGACTCCGGGCGCGTCGCGGCCCCCGAGCAGCCTGGACGGCTGGACAAGCCCGGGGCCATGGGAGCCGCCGGGCCTC